CACTTAAAATTTCTTTCTTTATGCAAAAAAAAATAATTTTGAAATGAAAATAAAAAAAAACTTAATTTTTATAATTCTTAAAATAAATTGTTTATGTTTAAAAATCGTTTTGTAAAGATAGCAGTCGAGAGCTTAACTTTCAGAAATATCCGAAACTTAATGTTTATGCCCACTTTTAGGACTTTATCGTTGATATCTATCTTGCTTTTTAAAAGTTTTTATACCGTTTTATCGGGATACACTTCATAAATGTCCTAGTCATATTGATAAACCAATACCAGCGTGACAGCAGTGTCTTTATACCAGTGTATATAAGATACCTCGTCTGATTCCTGGTACAATTATCAGATAACTTTCTCTAAGGAATTAACTTAAGACCAGTCTTGTCACAAAAGAAAACGAGTACAAACGCTCCCATTTGAACAACGGTGCAGGTCTTACTGACATTTGGCAAGGTAGCATTCTATTCGGTCCTTCTAAAGGTATGAAGTGCACAGCTGTTATATTTCACTATTCCTTCACATCCATCTCACACTTGCTTAAAAATCCTCGCATGTTGTCCTTTTTTCTTGTTAATTTAAATGTGTACATCACGTGTACATGACCATATAATTTGTGTGAGGCAGCAATCCAGGCATAAAGCAACAATCATCCTAGCGACGCATGGATTATAGGGATGGAATATAATTCAATCTATTTGATGAGAAATAATTCAATTTATTTATCTGGTTCAGTTATAATGTCTTAGCACAACAAACAATTGATAACTTAACCGGATTTAAATATTGAAACTTTGACTTCAATTTTGTGTGTGTTTAGTTTTGTTTATACTGGGCGCCGGTTTGCCATATGTCCCAGACTATCAGCCTCGGTTACGTCGCTGGTCGTAGAACCTGCAACGGAGGTCTTCTAATGCCGTCTTTCGTCGTAGATCTTCTCTAGAACCCAGTTCTTCGATCTTGAACGCAGTAGACGATATAGAGGAATGGCACCTCTTCCGGGAGCAGCAGCTCTTTGTAGGGCCACACCTTTCGCCGTTGGTTAGGTCACACAAGCTAGGTGACCTAAGTATGTCACCCATCTGGTGTGACCTATGTCTTCCGAGCGACATGACGCCGCAAAGGGAAGTGGGAAGGATTTTAATTTGATTAATTTATACGGCTTTATACTATAAGAAGGTATCATGCGGTTTATATCAAACATATATTCTTCTGCAAACTGACTTTCTGACAGTTTATTCAAAATCTGACTAAAGTTCATATCTACTTCAAATCGTGAAAATTATCTACTCATTATTTGTTTTCCAAGGGTTAATTTTAGAAACCGCATCGTTTTTAAAATAATGAAATCTCGCTAATGATTGGTTGTTTGAAAGACACGAGAAGGTGACTGCCTATAGGTGCATGTCAGATCCTAAAGCAGGGCGTTATTTCGGAGCTGATTTAATTAGATTACATCTCCCTTGGCCTCTAGCACCTGATGGAGTAAAGTTTATTCAATCCGCATCTAATAATACGTGTAAGCCTTTATACTTCGATGAAGTATATACAAGGACAAAGTCTTCTTTTATGAAAATATTTGCTCCTACCATCTTTTTTCAACTTATTTATTCGGCAAAAACATATATGTTCATCGCCTATATGGCGAAACAAATACAAATAGAAGAGCATGAAGTCATATTAATTAATTCAATCAAATTCTGCCGACAATAACAAAACAAAAAGATACTACTACAGATGATCAATAACATATATAAAATAAATTTATATTACACAAATCATGCCTGATAGTTTTCGCGCCAAAAATTAGCTTTGTAAACGCATTTTGCAAGTTTATTAATGGAATTTACAAGTTAAAATTACATCATAATTTAGATTTTAAATAAAGAAAATGCTTGTTTCAATTTCTGAGATAAGTCTTATTATTTAAATAAATGCAAAATATCTAATAAGAAATAAACAAATATAATATAAGTCTATTTAAAAGGGTTGACGATCACGTGGTATGTGTTTACTGTAACAATGGGTCACCGCCACTGACTTACAAGGTATTTGCTATTTTTTGTTTCATTTTATCTTTCAATATTTGATTAATAAATGTATACCATGTGCCAGGGAAACAATTGAAATGTACAATGAAAAGGTATGTATCATATGAATGGGCAATTATTCGCTTCGTTAACATTGGTATATACTGTTTATTCAAATATTGATAGATATAACGGAAAATTAGAAAAGAACATTTAAGTCAGGGCCGAAGCCATCATTGGTGGTCTCGTGATTACCTAATTAGTATTTTGAAGGCAAACATATTGTTAAGTTTGCCATAACATTTAAATAGCAATGCTAATTCAGGCATAAATTAACACATTTTATATCCCAATAGCCCGCACGTGCAATCTTTGTTTGTTACAATAATTAAAAGTACATATGATACGCAACAGATTTTGACATTTAAAATGTATTGTTTTATTCGATATGGAGACATAATCACATTAAGCATATCTCTTTCTTTTGTTACAAACTAAAGTACATAGTGTATAATAAACATACGTTATCATTAGTCAATTAAAATAAGATATTTCAATTTGAATGAAGCAGTAAACAAGTGTAAACGTGATAGGATAATAATTACAGCATAGTTACGCCAAGGTTAGGTAATTAACTTTTAAGTACATTTTCAGAAGTTTCAGGTTAGTAATATAAGTTTTGTTCAATGTATTTCAATACAAATAAAGCGGACGAATTTTTATACGTAATATCTGACCTGAATTCATTGTATTTGTATAACGTCCCCTTAGTGCAATAACGGGTTAACTCCTATTAGATGTAATAAGGAGTTGTCCCGTTAGTGCGCTAAGGTGAGGATAAATCTTGTCAATGTCAATGCGCAATTTTCGCTTAATTTTCAAAACATTATGCAGCATGTAACGTATGAAAGATATTGACTTGTTATTGTAACACAATAGTCATACTAAGGACGCGTGTTTACTTATTTCGGAAATTTAAAGTACATTTGGTATATCAATTAACAGTTGCGACATTGTGAAATCTCCAACTTTAAGTTCCATTGAAGTCCTATTATCATTGTACATCAGTGTATTTAATACAACGCGTATGGAGACAGTTGACAATGATTTTTGTTACAGTTTATGTTTGGATGAGTGTGTACTTTTACAATGTTTATAACCTAGGCATTTGCTTACATTTAAATGAATTGTAAATATAAAGCGGATATAATGGAAAATTTCAAATAACTTGAAAGTTTTCCGACAAAATATATAAAAACATAGTTTTTATTTTTCTCATGTAAATTGAACTTATTTTGAAGTTTCTATTACTTACGATATTTAAGTGCATTTATCCTACACTATAACCTGTTTTAGATTAAAGTCTCAGAAAGGAACTCCATTGAGGTTAAAAGATCTGAAACTTTGATTTGCAACTCTTGCATACATTAACTGGTGTACTGTAAACGTAAAAATATGTAAAAATATCTTATAAATACAAGAAAAAAGTGTATGAAAATCGATATTTTTTTGCAAACTTATACCCAATTTGAGTAAAATGAGTTGAAACATTTGTTCATGATTGGATCATTTCGCGCCCATAGAAATGATTATTCTGCAAAAAAAATTTCACTCGTGGCAAAAAAAAAATACATATGGTGTTCACTCTATGGAATCTATGAAACCAAGAAAATATCCTCTTTAAAGTCAAAATAGTGTTTTTCTTAATATACTTATCATAAAACTTCTTAAGGTAACAAAACGATTTGTTTATAAAGACTATTATTTCACAAACATAATGTGTTAGTCCTATGATTTACATTGTTGAAAAATCTCTTTTATGGCGAGTGAATTGAACTAGGAAAATACTAAAGTATATCTAAATACCAAATACCTGAAGCTAAAATTAGAATTTGGAAATATCGCTTAGGTTTCGTGGTGTTTTTTTTTTCTTCTTTTTTTTGTTGTCATTTTTAGACTAAAAGTGCAATTGTAGTGTGTAATATAATATGTTATATACACTTCAGTTATGTAATGGTGTCAGGTAACAGTTATATAAATAACTGTTTTTTAAGGTACATTATACCAAAGAAATGAATACATTTTAACCTGCTCGCAAGTTTTATAACGTTTAAGTATAAGATGCACATAACCTGATAAAAGTAGCGCTTGATGTATAATTATTTGTCATACAAGAAGAAAAATTTAAACAAAGAAGTATTTTGACTTCAATAAAAAAAGTAATGACTGTATCTTTACTAATTGCCTAAAATTAGAAGAAGAAAAAGATGGTTACACAAATTAAAAAGGATTGTTAAAATTTTATGCAAGTTTGCTTATATTTGTACACCTTGCCCCTAAAATGCAAAGCAATTTTCATATTTCAGCTTTTGTATTTGGGGAAACCAAAAAAAATATTTATGCAAGCAATTAAAATGCTGTTCACGGTTGTATTTTCTCTTAAAAAGTTATATTTAAGTAAAACCAGTTGAAAACAAAACCAAATCAATCGCAACACCGGACAGATGTGATCTTAACACATTATTCAGTTACCAATTACAACTTATATCTGAGACATAACCGTTCTACTTCAAGTACCTTGGCCAAGAATATCTTTACTAATTGCATTGTCGCCTGGTTCTTCCATGACATCAATCTTATCATCTGAACTCTTAATTGTTAATAAGATTATCTTCTATTGGTTTAGTTTCACGGCTGATTCTATGACTTCACTTGAAGACTTGTTAAATGTTGAATTCTGCTTAAGCCGATACTAGGGGGCGTGGAAGGTAGTTTGCACTTGACAGTACCGTCTATGAACAGGCTCAATCAAACCGAGCCTGCAACATTTTCATTTGTGCAGTGTTGAGCTTTCTTCGGGTATTCTTATTTCTCTCTATTTTGATGTCATAACTACCCTTTCCAAATACAAAAACTAACCCTTTACAACGAAAAAACCTGATCAAGTGTGCATGATATAGCGGCTCATATCTCCAGTTACTTCAGTTACTTGTCCCATTATAGTATATAGCAGTTGACTACATTATGTATGCACGCGAACTCACCTATCCGTAAATATGTCCCCAAAACTGATATGAAAAAGAGGATGTTATATTTTTGTCATGCAAATGAGCATGCTTTATTTGCAATATATATCTTTTTTTAGTTTAAGCAGTCAAACGTAAACCAAGGGTTACCAGATGTAGGAATATAAGTTTGACCTAGTCAATATGACATACATATCAGATTATTTTTTTCAGTCCCTGGATATGTAACAGCGTGAGATATTTACTCTTTTGAAAACATTTATAAAATACAAAATTGCATAACGAGGAAAAACTGTGTCAGTTCAAAACAATTTGGATAAAAGGTGCATTTTTTGTGTGCGTTTTTTTTCTTACTGGCATATATGCAATTGGAATACTTTGTCTTAATTGTTGTAGTATAGTAAAAACATAAGAACTCATAAGCTTCAATGAAATATTTTGAAATAATGATCATGCCATTGGCGTTTACATTAAAGGGACATTACCGCCCTGCAAGAGTAAATTGTCAGTAAGCAGATAAAAAATGAAATTTACTTGGCGTTTCCTCATAATTGTGTTCAATTGTATATTTAACAATGAAGAAAAATAACAAATATGATCCACGTAAACCAATGGAAATTTATATCTATATCGTTCAAAATTCATCAGTTACGTTCAGTTCTAATTCAGCGATGATTTTACACTGTATCATACAGTATCAACTAATTCTCATTCATTTTTATAATTGATAATCTTTTGAAATGTATTCAATCTAGTTTGGAAGCAATAGAAATGATTATAATGCCACTTTAAAGTAATAATATTCATTGCAAAAAAAAAAAACTTGCAAAGAAAACCTTTGAAAAAGAGTCTGTGAATGCTGTGTTGTTGCTTTGAATAAAAAAAAAGTATCAAGTTAAAATGTATACAAATATTTTAAAACAGATATGTTTTTGAAATCGCGTGGTATGTTTTAATTAAAAAAAAAGTAAGCTGTATTGTTAAAGGTAAGTGTGAAAGTCTTAAAGACATTGTTTAAAATGCTTGATAAGTTAAATGTGATGTATTCACGAATACAATGTAGCTGCATTTACTTCTGAAACAATGCTTTGAAAAAAATACAACATCTTTTAAGCTTAACATTCTTTCGTACACGATGTTGTTTAATATGATCACTGAATACATGTTAAAATGAAACAGAGAAAAAAACAAATGAATCCGTAACATAAATCATTAACGACAAAACTGTTGCAAGCTCGGTTTGATGCATCCTGTTACTAAAAAAATCATGAAGATAGGTAACAAGATAAAATTGTGTTATTTTTAGCTATGGTTCGTTCTTTTCATTTTTTTCAGCAATAGTTAAACATTGTGAGGCGGATAGCTGGACAAATTAAATGCGCATAGTGCAATATCACTGATATATATTGGAACGTCACAGAACTCTAATCCAATGGATTCATTGCAATTTCCAATATTACTCTTGAAATTCACAGAAATTTGTTTATGCGTTAATTCATTGTTTCATACAACTTTATCTAGGAGTGCATAGAGAAGATAAGTTTAATAGTACATAGCTAAAGTAACGGTGGCGGTACCAGGATATATTGCGTTGCTTCCGGGGATATATTGTCCCATAAAGTATTCGCTTTATATCTGGAAAATGCATTTGACTTCGACTCTGTGATTGACGTCGGATATTAACAATATCTTCATTTTTATATATTTGGAAACACAATATGGGCATTCTGCTGGAAGTTAATCCTCTAATTATTATTTTTTGTCTCGTAACGTTTATTGGATTTTTATACAGGTGAGTCTTGTATTTTTACTCAAATCAATCTTGTAAATTTGATAATGAATTTTGCATTTATTCTATTGCAATATTTATATACTAATTCATGTTCAAAATAAAGTGATATTATGCTCATTGTCGTTGACCTGAACTAGTAATCTATTAAAAGAGATTGACTTTTATAACGGTGATTGACCAATAGTTGTTTATGAAAAATATTCAAGATAATTTATTAAAGTACATGTATTATAAAAAGAGTTCCCCTCTCTTTTTAATAATTGAACGTTAACAATGCATATTGGTATGCATATATTAGAGCAACCTCGATTATGTATTGTTTTTGCATAAATGAAATAAACAATTGAAGACGCTTATGGCAAGATGTAAAGTTAATTTAACTTTTCCCTGTGCATAAGCATTTACACTTGGATGGGCATAATGTCACTTCAACACATGGCGTGTTGTGAAATTGAATATGCAGTAGTTTTTATCATATTTCATTTTTTAATGTATCTTTTTAACGATAAGTAAACTTTAAATATATTCTCATTTACATGTCAACTGGTGTTGTATGCACATATTTATATAGTTTCTCTGTAACCATCGCATTTTTCCCATTCAAAGCAAAATAGTGAATAATACGTTTAGGGATACATTAAATATAGATGTTGGTATATACATATACTTATAAAATTCGTATTACTATCGTTTTATACAAACAAATTGATATGTTTGTATTTTCTGATCGTAAGATCAGTAAATACATAGCTAATATCCACGGTCTAACACAAAATTTCCTTACAGTCCTAACAACGCAAAGTAGTTCTCACTCAAAACTGCTTAAAAACCAGCAATTTAAAAGAAAGAATAATTTTTAATGTAGGCATTTAACAAATTACAGTGCATTAAAAGTTTAGATTAGTCAATAGAAATATGAGGTTACAATCACAAATTTCGCGGATGAATATCTTTTTTACCCAATGAAAAATGTTCGGCTATTTCCGTAAAGCTTCGGATTATCATGAATATCATTTTAATCAATGAAAATGCTATTTTTAGCTATGTCGATTAATGAATACTCCAGAGCGTAGTACACAAATAAATCTGACTGTCGAGTAGTGGAATATATACATGTCGGGACTGTTTTTGGCGAGAAGATTTCGCTTAATTATTTTCATCAGTGTTAAACAACAGGTTTATCGTGAACAAATACCTCGAAATTAATAAGGATTGCAAACACGAAATGGAAATTTTCAATTTAGAATTACATAATGTATTCGTTTTTATTCAAGGTACATATGTATTACTTCGCCGTGGTGCAGAGGTAAGCGGTCTCGTTGAGGGTGTGAGAGGCCTATGGTTCAAATCCTAGTCGAGGCAATTCTATTTTTTTATGCAAAATTCCATATGTATCAATCTCAAACTGTTATAGAAGAAAATCAAAACGCTGTCCTTGCGTAAGATGAATTATAGTATATAAAAATAAACTTATACAGGAAAGTACATACAGATAGTCAGTATGATTTAGATTGCAAAGATCAGAAAATACCATAGAGCTGCAGCCCTTTGATTTTTTATGTTTTCTCCCCCGAAATTAGTTCATTTTCTTTTGATTTTGTTTTTTTATGCACGGAAAGTAAACTTTTCGTATAATTGCCTAGTTTAAAGGAAGGAAGTCGACTGAGGTCTAAAAGCCTAAAAAAATTGAATTTCTGCCATAGATCATAAGGGACACTTAGGACAGAAACATACACAAAAGATAATTAAGGAATACAAATGTATTTTCTAAAATAAAATAAAAGCATTTCATTGTGCTATTCTTGGTCCGATTTGACAACACTTTTCAATTTTGGTCGCTTTCACAATTTGAATAAATATCCTGAAAAAAACAGTGTGAGCGAATGATTGGAAATTAAGAACACAAGGAATTGGTCTAGATCCACATCAAATAGAACATTAATTTCGAAAAACTATTTCCAGTCATAACGTGTCAAAAAACCTCAGTAGAGTCACTTTAATAAATTATGTAGAAAATAAAATTCTATACATCAGCGTAAGTTATTTACTTAATATCTAAGCATGAAGCTAAGTGGAACTTACTTAGATACTCGTACAATTCAATGTTGTTAAATTTTTCTGGTCTTTTAGATGTACTGATGTTATTACCGCTTTAGCCAACCCTTGGGTGCACATCTCCATTTCCATTTATAAACACATTCAATAAAAAATGCAAGTTTGCAATTGTCATGTAAATATAATGTTAACAATGCTTCCTAGGGATTACTCCTTGTTTTTCTTTCTTTCTTTTTTCTTTCTTTCTTTTTTTCGATAGTTTGTTCAAAGTTGTAATGCTATTGTGCATAGCTATTGATATATATTTTGGCATTTGTTTTTCACATGTTTTGTTTAAAGATATATGAAGGATACCTACTCTGTTCTCGAACGACTTGGTATACCAGGACCAAAACCAATATGGGTATTCGGCAATGTTCTGGAGTTCAAAGGGAAGGTAATTAGTCATATGTATTAATTCAATATTAACCAAAAATTACGAATCTATTTTAGATTAATAATGCTAGTGTTATAAGCCATTGATAAAGGATTTTTGTGCATTTACTTTTCATATGTTTGGAATTTAACCTTCTTATATTTATGATGCTATTGTACATAACCATTAATATAGTTTTTGTGCATTTATTATTCCTACGCTTCGTCTGGAGATATGACTATTTTATTTTGAGTTAAAATAGGACAACATTCTTTTTTTGCAGTGCCTTTTGACCATTTTCCATTTTGATAATCTTTCTTAAGTACATGTATTTTCATAAAATCATTTATTCAAATCACAAAAAAGGAATTTTACCATTTGTTATATTCTAACATATAAAAAATTCAACATATTTATTTCATAGAATCATACGATCTTTTCAACATGCATTAAAAAGACGCCTTTAAAAATGTGCTGACAAATACAAAAAAAAAAAACATTTTAAGAATTAAACTATCAACACTTTAATAAGGTAGCAATTTACACAATATCAATGGCACTTACAACCCACGTAAATTACTAAAAAGAAGACAAAATGTGCAAAAATAGCCCTTACTGCGTTACAAACGCAGTAGAAATATAGTTATAAATACTGAAAAATCGGTCATTTATCGCATATAACATGTAAATTATTACTAGAACTTTGAATCTTTACACTTTTACACTTAGTACATTTTCTCAAGTTTGATTTTATTGAAATATTTTCGCTCATCTGGAGGCGTGCAGCTTTAAAGACACTTTTAAAATTGTCCTGACAAATATAAAAACAAATCGATTTTAAGAATAAAACTATCAACATTTTTAAAAAAGCAGCATGTTTCATAATTTATGCTTATTATCACGAATTTATATATATTTTTAAAGTAAAATATTGTGAAGTGATGAAGTAATTTACACATTGCAAATGCCACTTATGTATACAATTTACGTAAATTACCCAAAAGAGATCAAAATATGTAAAGATAACCCTTACAGCGTTAGTCACGAAGTAGAAATATGGTGATAAATACAGAAAAAAAAAGCTGTTGTTAATCGCACACAGCATTAAATTAATATTTCAATCTTTTATCTGTTTACCTTTTTTGAAAACCTCAATGTTTATCTCATTTATTTCTAGAATGTGTTGAAGGTTTTTGATGATTGGAAACAAAAATATGGGAAAGTTTACGGGTAAAGTATAATACATGTATTTAGTTTGATGTTAAGATTATAATCAAATATGTCTTTTATTGTCTATAATGATGCTTCCGAATTGATGATTGAGAACAATAATATAGTCCCATCTCGTCTGTATATGTTAAGTTGGGTTTAAAGTCATACCTTAACATTGTAAAGAACATACGGCGACGTTCCTGTGGGCATACGGCGACGTTCCTGTGGGCATACGGCGACGTTCATGTGGGCATACGGCGACGTTCCTGTGGGCATACGGCGTCCTGTGGGCATACGGCGACGTTCCTGTGGGCATACGGCGACGTTCCTGTAGGCATACGGCGACGTTCCAGTGGGTATACGGCGACTTTCCTGCGGGCATATGACGACTTTCTTGCTTATAACGTAGAAGAAGACATTAATTTCCCTTCCGCGCATTACTTCAAGTAAAACAACAAACCTTCCGTAAGCTAGCTGAAAAGCTTCATCACATAGAAAAAATATCCAAAGTCCCTGGCTGGATTCGAACCAAGAAATGTGAGAGAGAAGTGGTGTTAGCGACCTTAGCACTCGGTCACGGAGGCCCCTGTCCTTTATATTCTCATAAGAACATGTGTTATATTATTTACTATTGCTCAAGTATGTTCACATGTTTTAAAAACATATTTGTACATTTTACAGATTTTACGAAGGCTTTCGTGCTGGTATCGTTATAAATGATGTCGATTATGCACAAGACATATTGAATAGATACTTCGACAAGTTCAGCCTTCGCACTGTAAGGTTATTTTTAGGAGACATTTCTACAATTCAATAAATGTATTTCACATTAAAATTGACGCATCTCCCCTCTACAACTAAACAGAAACATCTTTTGATTGAATTCACGAGATTTTGAATAACAATGAACACCCTTTTTATATTTTATTAATCTCATTGCGCCAAATTTGTTTGTTAGGATTCGATTTTTTACCTTTCATATTTTACGTTGTATCACATGGCCGCTTATTTTAAGTTTACGTTCCTTTCATTATCGTAGACATTACATTTGCCTGTCTATTACAATGTATTTACAAGAAGTTATTACCTTCATATACAAGACTACTATATAAACCCTATTGTTTCAAGTTTTTGAAACATTCTCATATGCAAATTAATGATTTTATACTTTAAGAGTTACCGCCCTTTTGTTTATTACCCTGACAACTTGCGGCTAATTGAAATAGACGGCGATCATTGGAAGAATCAGCGAATTGTGTTTAATAAAATGTTGAACTCACCAACCACTATAAAATTGGTAAGTTGTTCTTAGATTAACATATCCGACGGAGGCAAATTATATCGTTCTTGTAGAAATGTTCGGTCTTTTTCGTTATGTTTCACGTAGATCGCAGACAATCATATCTCATGGAAGCATATTATTCCCGTATTTAAAGGCACGTTTCATCTCAAAAACAAATATTTGTTCTTTTTCTTGTTCGAAAGAGCAAAACATTTATTTTATACCCATTAAATAATTAGGTTTAAGAGCATGGTTCACGCTAAGCACCTGGAAAAAGTAGTGCTCTATGTAAAATTTATATTCATAAAAGTAGTAAAATGCAAACACAAATCTTATTATTTTTAAGTTAAAATGGCACGGAAGTTATACATTGGATTTTCCTTTTTTACCACATCCGTTTGAATGTTACTTTATACTAAATAACACTATTTTCATAACGTTGAATTGCGCTAAAGCAAATGCAAAACGGTAAAATGATACTGGTTTCTTTTTTATACAGGCTGAATCTAACCGAGTCAGCAACATTTTCAATAACGGTATTTTGAACAACCTTTATGGTTCCAATATATAAACTATTTGTACTATGTTCATGTCGACAGGTTATTACCAAAATGCAGTGAACAACCTTTGTGGTTCCAATATATAAACTATTTGTACTATGTTCATATCGACAGGTTATTGCCAAAATGCAGATAACAGCAAAGGAAATGCTTCAACAAATATCTGATGAATTAAAAACGGTATCTGACGGTATCAACATATCAAGGTAAATATTCAGGAGTTTAATATGTAAACGATTTATATTTTTCAATATTAAAAAGCAAGATGTGGGATAGAACATGTCTTCTTTTATCTCGTGAAACATCTGCTTTTCCCCTAACTTTGCTACGTTCTTCCTAGTGGTATACTCAAATCTTTAAATAAAAGGAACGCAATCTAATTATGTTCTACAATTATTCCATTGAATTGGAATATGTTACATTCAATCCACAATTCCCAAATATGACAATCATGTTAAAAGTATAACAAAAAGACTTGTTTTGACTTGATTCAATTCAAGGTGTCATTTGATAAATGGTCATGCTTGTTATTTTTGTAAAGTGCCATAGACCACTACGTGTCAGAGGGGATCATTCGAATCGCTTTAAATCCAGATGACGACAAACTTGCAAAATACAAACAGCCAGTGTATGAATACGAAATTCAGAGTAATTGGTCTGCATCTGCAGACAATGAAACTGGTGGATTAGCTCGTAATAATATACTTTTTTTTAAATTTCAATACATGTTAACTAGAATTGAGTGATAATATAGGCCAATTTGATTTGTTTGTTGCTGTTAAATATTTATCATTCTGTTTTGATACACATTAACTTATACACACGTTATTATGTCCTGGAACATTTTAATCTCTTTTTCTTCGCGAATCTATGAGTATTAGTTAATATGTAAATCATTTTTAAGTTATTCAATTTTTAAAATGTTATAATGTGGTCCGGTGTTGTAGAATAACAATTATATCCTCATTTTGTCTCTCAATGTCACTTCAAAATCATATACTTAGCTTATCTTATCTAATCTTATTTTATCTGATCTAATACGCAAGTACATTAAATTTACTTAATCAGTATACATAAAAAGACATATTTGAATATTCCATAAATTTACGGTGTTACAAGTAAAACAAAAATAGTCCCTTCTGATATACATTTACAGGCATTTTTCCTTGGCTGGTACCATTTCTAAGAGTTGCCGACAAGAAATATAAAGATGAACATGACAATATTGTAGCAATTCTCAGACAGTATACTGATGAAACTTCTCCTCAGGTTAGTAATTGTCCGATTACTATATTGTTTAAAGTTCCATAATGCTCTTTTTTCCGTTCTCGAATTGAGCTGAATTTGCAACATTATTTAAAGGATTGGCTATTATAATGGTGATTGACCAAAAATTGATAATGAAAAATGCTCAGGATAAAATATAAAAACTGTTTTAATATAAAAATACTTAACATTATCGATACATTTTGAAATGGGTTATTGAATATACAGGTGAACTAAAATGTAAAATTTAAAACATCTGTGGTCAAATGTGAACTTGTCGGCATTTTCTAGTTGGGTGAATACTGTATAATCACCCTTAGGATATGTCGCCTGCTTTTTAAATTTGTCTTTTGACGTCTTATCTGTGATACGCAGGCTTCATAACCTCTGATCCCCTTTCGAAATTCCATTTTATTTAGTTCCGCCCATTGTTTTCTCGTTTAGGGCATTGTTTTCTCGTTTAGGCATTTTTTTAATTGGGGACCATACGCCGCTTTTCATGGAATGGCACTACTGTGTCACATTGAAGGTTCCATGATAACCGCCGTATGAACACATCTGCGGATGTTTCTAAATTCAAAATTTTACTATTTCATGTTTAAACGTTGAATTCTGCTTAAGCCGGTGCTAGGGGGCGTGGACGGTTACTTGCACTTTCCAGCACCGTCCATGAACAGGCTCAATCAAACCGAGCCTGCAACATTTTCAATTTTGTCATGTTGGGCTTTCTTTAGGGATTCTGTATTTATCTATTTTTTGATTTGACTGTCCTTATAGTACTACACTGATAAAAATATACTTTTCTGTGACATCTCTTGGTTCTCTAAAGGTATTCGCAAGATTAGCTGTACATATAAGCCTTCAAATCTGCCATAGGTCTTGTAGACTAATGTTTCATTTGTATGTATTTCATAGCCATGTGAAAATTGCAGAACAGACGTTAAATTGACATTATACCTGGCTAAGTGTAACTAGTGAGTATAACGTCATAAAAAATAAAGATAGCCACGATGTCTTGTTCTCGATCTAATTTTTGATTTTATGTCCCCCAACTTCGTAGATATTAAATCGCCCCTTTTTGATCCAGCTATCACCCTATAACACTACTGTCACGTTGTCCTTTTGTCGTGCTGACCGGTCGTTGACTGATAAAACAGTAAATTATTGGGCCATCTGTGTCCTGTGGACAGATATCAAGGTAAATTATTTGTATGAATCTGTCATCTATACTTATTTTACAGAACAATAACCAAGATACCCGAGAGGTCCACGACAGTCTGTTTGCTGTGCTCTCCTCGTCTAAAGTACCTTGTCGGGACGTTGAAGGCCGTCTTGCACAACGAACATTAGCTACTGATGAAATAATTGCTCATATGTTGACACTTCTGAGTGAGGTACATCCAACAACGACGGCATTAATTCAGTTCATTTTGTATGAACTGGCTTGCCATCAGGATTGCCAAGACAAACTATACGACGAAATTCAAAATATGAGCAGTCAGGTAAATTATATTGTGTTTTACCCGAAAAAAGTAAAAATTCATAACATTCTTGTGAAATTAAAATGTGTTTATCCAAAAAGTATGATATTAAAATAATAATTATATAACATTTATAAAAAAATATAAATTTCTACTTCATTTATTTCATTTATTTCATTTACTATCAAATATCACATTTTACATTTTTAAACATTCTATAATAATCTGGCGGTATGGCCGAGTGGTTGACGCGTCGGACCAGTAATCTGAAGATCGCTGTCCGCATGATAGCACACCCCATTAGGGGCTAGCCGTTGTTTTCTATAAGCAAGAAACTTTACACACATTTCTCAGTACTGGTTGGTTCCGGGAACGAATTTGAGAGTATGTCTTTAAGCTTTAAGCTTCCTACACAAACGAACTAAAATAAATTCTGTATGAAAAGTCTTATCAAATTCATTTAATTGATTGTATAACATTATATGCAATATGCTTTGCTTTCAGTATGAGGAGCCGTCATATGAAGAATTACAGAATATGGAGTATTTGGATATGATTATAAACGAGACATACCGCCACCATCCTGTAGCTCCAGGGTACGACCAATGTATTGCCACGTTGTTTATTATAATTATTTGAAGATATATGTTTTATTACATTATATTGTCGGAAAAGATGTTTCTTATCATAAACGTTTTAGACTGTTAATTTGTTGGTTTGGTTTTATTGTGCACCAACAAAGTGTAGGCCATATGGCGGCGGAACTTAAAATAGAGAAAATAAGAATCCCTAAAGAAAGCCCAACAAGTTAAATTTGGTGTTACGGTGCACCAACTCTGTATAAGTTCATATGGAACGGAAAGATTTTTATTTTGCTAACCTCGGGTGTTTCACCTTTCAAAGCAACATCAGGGTTCAAAGCAACCTCACCTGATGGAGAGACTCCAGTTATTCGAACCCATTAAGTCGCATGTTACGACCATGCAGAAATTTACGGTGGGTATAATTCTTATGCCTCAACCATTATAGGTAATCCCTCAGTCCCAATGGAACTTTTAGACTGTTATTTTAAAAAAATGACTTCTTAATCTAGTTTTTACTGCATAGTTACTTTAGACAAACGTCTTTTTATGCATATGTGTCTTTTGTCATTTCAGGGTATCTCGTGTATGCAGCGAAAGTTGTACAATAAGAGACGTACGCTTTGAAAAAGGCATGGTGGTGAGGGTGATGACCTGTTCAATGTACAAAGATGAAAAGTTGTTCAATCAACCGGAAGATTTCATTCCCGAAAGGTAACGTTATTTACGGTATCATGCTATTTCATAAATTCATATGACTTGTTAAGAATCCGCAGGATGTTTGGCTTTGATTAACGATTATTGTAACAAGTCAAGCCACTTTCATTCTGTATGGTGTTTCAGATTTTCTACAGAAAACAGACGAAATTGTCACCAGTATAGTTTTCTTCCATTTGGTCAAGGTCCAAGAATATGCCCCGGACAGAAGCTTGCACTTATCAAAGTAAAGATAGCAATTATCAGTATTGTAAAGAACTACAAGTTAACTACCTGTAAAAATACAGAGGTAAGTAAGTTGACACATATAGAGCTTCTGTCACTTTTATATTAAATGTAAAATTATTTTATTTCACACAAATGTGCCAAAGAACGAATTCATAATCCGATTCTGAAATATAATTTTAAACGTTTTAATCGGTAAATAAATTTCCGATTTAAGTTGTTTCGTGGAATTTGAAGATAACGACAGTTCTTGTTAATGTTCAAAGGTTGAATGAGTGTAAGTTCAAAATTGAATTTATTGAACGAGTTGAATAAAATTATAGAATTTTTTCCAGATTCCTCTTCAACAAGCGTTACGTCCATCTCTGACACCAGCGAATGGAGTTTGTATACAATTGTCAAGACGCGGGTCTTAAGATATATATATAAAACACATATTCGTCGGAACTAAGTTTTATTCTCATCGGAATTCCATGCATAAGGCATTCGAAGCTCTGTCGGGTCTACATAAGACATTTAAGTGACTGTATCAATACTTATATATACTTGTATCAATTCAAAACTTTGACGATATCATCCAAGAATGCCTATCAGTTGATCTACCTCTTAATTTCTGAAATCTCCGAGCTGTATTTGTAAACATTATTTCAACCCGAACACCTCATGTGCAAGGCGTTTGGACAATTAAAGACAATTATTAACCCTCAGAAACTCAGATATTTTTCTTTCTGTAGAAATGGCAAACATATTTAGTAACTGTTATATGATAGTGGATTTAGAACAAATATCGTGACCTGAAGAAAGTAGCAATGATTGTGAAGATATCTGTGATAAAGTTAAAATGTTAACAGAATAATATATAATGATAGATACTGATACAAAGTATGTTCGATATTTTCAAGTGCTTAAGAGTACTATTTTAATTATTGTTTTACATCTTTGTGCATATTAAAGTCATTTTCAAGTAACATGCGAAGATAATTCTATTAAGTCCTAGTAAATGACGAAAATTGTTGTAAATAATTACTTACTTAATTCGATGAGTCTTTTAAAAGTTTTTTTTCTATAATATTACTTTCCAATTCGTTCAATGAATTCGAGTCGGAGCCCAAAGTCATTCAGTGAACTTGGCTTTGATAATCCTAATTAAACTACTTATTATTTCAAATATTCAAATTCTATTATCTCACAGCATAATGTGGAGGGGGCTGTACTGGAATCACTTTGTCGGCCAGTCGATCTATCCCTCCGACCGTCTTCATTGTAGCCGCTTTTAACTTTTCACTTAAATATAGCAATGTGTAGAACCCATGCCGCCGCCGTCCTTTGAAAGCAATTTAGTGTCGGCTCTTTAATTTTCTTCAGACTTGCTTCATATGATCACCTTAACAAGGAAATGCTGCTTGTGCAGATTTAAGGTTAAGGTCACCCTTGAAGGTCAAATATAACACAATTTCGTGTCAGCTCTTTCGATGGTATGCCCTTTGAAGGATATTCTTCGTACTTTGTTCAAATTTTCACTGTAGCAAGAAAATGTGTAGAACCATTGCTGCAATTGTGCAAGGTCAAGTTAACGCCTAAAGGTCAAATATTTGATAATTTTGTGTCCCCTTTATAAATCCTGAACCCCTGAAAGGAATTTTGTTAAACTTGCTTCAAACATTCACTTCAACAAGGCAATGTGAAAAACATATGCTGTTTCTGTGTAGGCTTCAGGTCAAGGTCACCCTTGAAGGCCAAAATTCGAAAATGTCGTGCCTGCACTATACATTCATACTTTCCAAAACAAAATTCAGACTTAACTATATAAAATGTTGTCTTTCAAAAATAATGATAAATTGATCTGCATAATATTCTGTGCCACATAGATCAGGTAGGGATATTCTTCATACCTTTGGCAGCTCTAGTTATTTATAGATAGTTAATGCTTCTTCTTGTTTCAATTATTGAAGCGTGCGTCGCTTTAAACAGGCGAAGAACATTTGTGTCACTAGACTTTATGTTGTTTTTATTATACTAATTAATCTAATTGTATTTTATTTATCAATAACTTGTTATACGGTTAAATGGTTATATATTTATATATATATACTACTGTTTCATCAGAATGTTAGAATACTTACATGTTTTAATAAAGAATTTGTATCACTTTATTTTTCAGCGTTTATTTTTGTGCGGCTAAATATTATCGATCTCTTGTATTTATTTATCTACATGATAACTAAGTGTTTGAGTTTTAACACATTTACTTGGGAAATCAATTTAATTTAAATCAAAAGTATTTGAGAAGAGAAGTAAGATAACTCTGATATTTATTTGTCAATTTTTACATCTTAAAATGTGAAAGAAAGGTATTTCAAAGATATTTTAAGATTACATAATAAATTCTGATACTGACCATTACACTTACAACAATAAAAAAAGAAATGAAAAAGACAGGAAAACTACCTCTTTACAATTCTATACAAAAAGGCATTTCCAAGATATTATAATAAATTAACTGTAATACTAAGCAAAACATGTGTTTAATATTTCTCCTTTTTGCGCATAACTTCAGAATATAGACAACAGATAAAGCTGTTTTTGAAATAACATTTAGATTTTTATACTATGTTTACAATATATACAGGAAAATAAATCACTACATATGCTCAACAAAAAACAATGAATATGATTCTTATTAATATTGCTATAGAAATATATTACCGTTTTAGCATCACGAGATTCATGTTTTGAATGTGCATATCTTATTTCTGAATTAATAATGTGAATTTTATTAATTATATTTTGTGTGGTTTTAAAAGGAAAAATGGAAAACATATTTTCAACATGAATAAAATTACGATTTACATTATAAACAAAAAAAACTGTTCCTTGCAAAATGATAACATTTTCGTTTTTTAAGAGAAAGTTTGTATAATTATAGTTTAAATCGGTAAATGTTATGTATTGAAACACAAATGCATTTTATTTTCTTTAGTGAGGACAACTATGGCGAATAATTCTTTTGGCGGATATTTTTTTTACTTTTTGAATAAACCGGCTTTGTAATCTAAACTTTTTGTCTAAATAATGGGAGAAAAATAAAACATGGATAGAAATTTATGAGCCAAAAATTTATATCAAAAGTCCTCAATTTCTTTAAAAGTTCACCACATTTCAAAACAATACGCGACAAGAAGTCGAGATGACATGTGTATTCACGGGGTGGGAAAGTAGCTCATACACTTTGAGCTGATTCACTCACTTGTAAATGTTATGTGACACAACTGTACTGTGTTCGGTTTGTGTCACTACTGTATTTAAATAATTTATTTCAAGCAGTAAAGTGTTAATAAAAACGTGTAAAAAAGATTAGATATCTAGAAAAAAGCTCAGAACTGTTTAATTTGAATACATAAATTGTTATTTATAAAGAATAGTTTAATTACTTTAATGTGTAAAGTTGCAGACGGCACTTAAAAAATTTTCCACTTAAATTGGTAACTCAACGAAACGGGGTTTTGCCTCTTAAGTTCTGATAAAGACTGAGCTGTTTAACCAAAAATTCGGGCTCTTTTATACCCAGAACAAATCCCAACCAAAATAAAGTGGTTGATGTGGTTGGTTTACCAAAGTGGTTATGGTTGGAGCAAAAAAATGGTTGGTCCGACCAAGAAATATTGGTTGATTTACCAAAACAGTTAGAAATTTAAGCATAGACTCTTAGACCTATGAAATAATAAAAATGGACATATATTTATAATCACAGGTAACGAGTGAAAGTGACAATTCCCCTAAGAAGTAAGATTGAGCTGCACATCGTGAAAATGGAGGATAAACAAGGAAAACGTATTGGATAAAATAGGATAGATTAAATCTGGCTCATAACCTGTATACATGCGTTGGTGTTTTGATTTCTAGTAAAACACAGCTTATTATAAATTTTATGGCTAGAAAATGTCAACATATCCTCACTATAAAAGATTAGAAGAAAAGAAAAATATTTCAAGTTCAAGTCAATTAAGGTAAGGAGTTGAGTTTATGCAGTTCAGTTAAGTTACAGTTATAGTTGCAATTTTCAGATGACTACATTATTGCATGCATTTTTTTCATATCAAATAAAAGAAATGGTTTCTTTCAATACTGAAAGTAGAATACGCTCAGAATTGAAAAAAATTGGGATGAATTTTAAATAGACCAAGTTCAGGAATTTTTGTTTGTTATACACGCGTTGCATGGTGATACAGTATGTATCAATATAATTGAAGACTGTTACTTGAATTTTAGGCAGGTATGAGGAAATTCACTATCACCATGTTCGTGCGAGTCAAAGATATAAAAGCTACTTTGACATTGGTGATACATAAAATACTATTGTTAATTGATTTATTGGGAGGTCAATATACTTTTTGATGAATTGCTTTAAAAACATTACACCTCATGTTCTGACTGCATATCTCAGTTTTCTGTTGTTACCAATATCTATCTATCTATAGCCAATGCTTACTTATGATCAATCCGCTCTTAAGGGCATAAAATGCAGTTATCGCTATAGAGTACGGACCCCTAAACAGAAAGATTAGGAGTCTCCTTCAACGGAACTTTTCTTAAAAGGTTTATATGACAAGGTTATCATCGAAGTATTCAATATTATGCATATAACAAAAAGCATTTTGTTTGACCAAAATGTTAAAGTAGTCTTATAAAATGATATAGATATATTTATATATATTTTATCGAGTTACCGTTTTCATTTTAGATGAGTTAACAGAAAGGGTAAATATCAAAAGCTGGTTATAATATTTATAATGTAAAGCAATTTTTTTAACAAAGTATTTTTGTCTTAGTAAACATTAAACATAGCAATATGCTATAGATATATCTACATGTAAAATTGGCAAATCTTCATTGAATCAATCTGTTGCTTACGTTTATTAAAAGCATGATACGAGTAAATACTTAAATTACGAATATCTGTTACATTTTCTGTATTCATAAGAGCAATAAATTTAAAATTACTAGGTGATTCCAATAGTTCCTCTTGATATATTTTGAACGAAATTCTTTAAACGTATTCCATAAAAGTACAAAACGGTATTCACTTCTATTGTATTACATATATGACAAATTCGTTCAATAAAGGAACACACATTAGAGTTTTCACCATCTTCCAGATTCTTCAAATAATCTATGAGATGACATGAGTAAACGTGATAAAGCTATTCTGTACTTATGCTATTTTTAACAGCTTGATATTTGCTTAAATTAAAACTAACTATTGTTCTCAAAAAACAGTGCTCTTGTCGAGTCTTCTTATCTGTTATTAAAATCATTCAGCCATTATCTTTTTTCCTTTGCTTTAATATAAATAAAATAGTTTTTTTTAATTTTCAACACCTTGGTTTAATTATACATGTTCAAATCCTAGTTTTGTCAGTAAGCTCTTAACATTAATCACCCAGTTAATAACATTTGGTTCGTTAACTGCATCATTCTCATATTCACATAAATATTTCTAATATACTTTGATTCTGAACATGTACTGTAACATATTTTAACCAATATTTTATAACACTTAACAATTTATATGACATCAAAATTTATCTACCAAGCTCGCCATATACAAAATCATTTTGGGTAGATGCTTTAACACTTAACAATCTTTTACAAAATCTTAAATATGTTATTTCTACATGTGGAGCTTCATAAAAAAAACTCTTAGGAATAAACTGAAATTGGCATAATTATCTTATCAAATAAATTAAGAGTATGTTTGGGTAATAAATCTCTAAATTTATTTATTCATTTTAAAAAAAAGCTTTTACAGCCTGTCCATCTAACAATTTATTATGCTGAAAATATTTAAAATATTAAATGCACTGTTTAAACTCAGGAGTCAATTCAACGAGTAAACACGATGTAACGACGTTGGTAGAATGTAATATTACTCATAATGAGCATTACAAGATTGCAAAATCTAAAGGTGGTGACTTAACATATAGGAAAGTATCCCATATTATAAGGGCATAAACTACTCCCGATGGTGAGCTAGCTTATTACTGAAAGGGTTTGTGTGCCGTACATGATACAGATGGTGGCAGCCATTGAAGTTGTCATACCAAATGATTTTCCAAGTCAAGTCTCGGGACGAGACTTCTCTGAGGGGAAAATATGTGACGGCGTTGGTAGAACGTCAATAATACTCATAATTAACATTACAATATGAAAAAACTAGGTGGTGACTTAACATATAGGACAGTATCCCATATATGAAAAAATACGATATATAAAGGCATCAATCATTCTGGTGAGCTAGCTTTTCACTGTAAGGGCTTTGTGCCGTACATGTTACACATGTATGAAGTGAAGTGTAGATTCTTTGGTCACCAGATTCTTTACGTCAGATAGAACTATGTTACTGCAAGACATAAATCTTGACGGTACATCTTTTACTTCATATAATGCTTATATGACCACAACTAAAATGGCGATTTTGACGCTGACGCGGCCCAGCAGATGGTTATCTATTTTTGCTTTTAGAAACAATCTACGGTCATGTGAAAGAAGTAAAAAAATGTTCATTATTGTCTGGCGTCAACAGCCCTTTTAAGACCAACCTCCTTTCATTATTATCTCAGGTTACTGTACATTTAGGTTCTCATTGACAGCAGTACAGTGACCTACTTTTGGCTCAAAATTCATATCTTTGGCTAATACTCCGTGAAAATGACATGGAGGTAAATCATGATGACTTTGTGCTTCTAAATAAAATCTTTACATGCAAGACTGGTGACATTCCGGGATCCTTACTTGACAGCAAAAGCTGCATTTTGTTTCCTTACGGGCGGATGGATCCTCATTAAGCATAGACTACCCCCCCCACACACACACAGCAGAAATGGTATGTCCTTAGTGAAGTGATTACAGTTTGATATATATAAAACATTTAGGATTGTAAAAATTTGAGTTTGCTGAGAGTTTGAAAAGACAAATTGTGTATGTTTCGTATTAAAAGGTAACTTTACGTAAAAAATGTAAGATACTTTGAAAAAATAGAAACATTGACATAATGTCATGTAACGTAATTATGACGTTGGAGCGTTGGTCGCTTTGTGTTTTTCGGTAGCCTTTTAATTTGTTCTGAGTAATCAAATTAAATAATATA